GAACTCTGTCCTGTTCGCATCTCTGGGATTTATTCGGTTTGTTAGTAGCTTAGTTAATTTGCTCACTGTTAGAGTTAGATAAATAAATTGTTACTTGATTGTAAAGCTAGTGTCTGGGCTTTATTTTATTTAGCCACTAGAAGTTGCTGAAAGGCAGGTTACACTACTTTTCACACTCCTCTTACAGATTATAGGGTGAGGTGCTCCTCTTTGGGCGTTCCTATTTCTCAAAGAGGAGTCAACCTCAGCTTTATAACACCATTAAGTGTATATGTTTAAACCTCATCAACTTCTGTTGAGTATTTTTGCAATGCACTTTCAGTCCTACCAAATAAAATAGTGCAGTACAGAAGGACGCTATTAAATCCATCAGTCTTCACCAGTTCTTTTGAAGAGGAAGTTGGTCAGTCCCACCACTGCCTCCTCCACGTGTTCTTTACATTTTTATATCTCTAAGTGTTTATCCATTTCTTTTGAATATTAATTTGAATATGTATTCACCGCCATATCATGGAGAAAGTGCATTCCAAATTCTAGATACTTTTGACATAAAAAAATCTTTCCTCATGTTTCCTCGGGCTCTTCTGCCTATCAACTTAAATGAAATTAAATCTGGGCCTTCTGATTAGAATAAATATAAATTGTTTCCAATGCTATCTAAACTCTTCATAATGGTATACAACTCCATCAAATCCCCTCAGGTTTCTTGCCTCTAAACAGAGCAACCTTAGCTTTACAGAAACCTCTAAAGCCTCTCAAGAGAACAACCTTAGTAATCCTTCATCCTTGTAGCTGTTATAATAATTAGCTTCTGAACCATCCACAAAGCTTTCACATTATTCTACTGGCCAGAATTGAAAATCATAGTCACGGTAAGATTGAACTGATTTATGTAGGTTTAGTATTTTCTTTGAGACTCCACACCTCTATTTATCAAGCCCATCAAAAGCATAAGTTTCAGTACGATATACTTTGCCAACACACTTCTGTCAGACAATTGCACACAACATGGTTGTTCATAGTCTGAAACCAGCTCTGCTTCTTTGAACTTGGCCCTTTGTAATATCCAGACAGTAATATCCAGCAAACTTGAACCTCACAAGCAGTGCAAACACTAACTCCGTGCACAAATAAAAATATGCAGATTTCACATTGGCATATTCGATTGGCATATGACTCTGTTTAACTCCTGGTAAAAACAACAAAACTTTCCAGTAAATTATCCCCAACTAATTCATCTAAAATAAAGGTGACTTTTATCCACACAAGCGAATTACACTTTTTGTTGAGGGATAAATGATTTCTCATTTCACATTAAAACTTATCAATGCCCAAATCATAGGAAAGCAAAGTTCTGCACATAGTGGAAATCTTAAATATAAGCAGAAACTCCTGGGACTACTCAGTAGGTCAGGCAGCAGTGAAACAAAAATGAGTCAACGCCTCAGATACGTTCTGAGGAAGGGTCACCGGACCCGAAACGTAAACTCTGTTTTCTCCTCCACAGATGCTGCCAGACCTGCTGAGCTTTTCCAGCAACTTTGTTTTTGTGCCTCAGATACACAATCTTCATTACTTCTGATGAAGGGTCAGTGACCTCTGTCTCTCTCTGTGCAGATGCTGACAGACATGCTGAGCATTTCCAACACTTCCTATTTCTATTGAGTAAAAAGAACCTCTTTTGCCAGTCCTCCATTCATTCAAGAAGAAACCTAGCAGCTACCTGAGACCAGGTATATTAAACATACATTTCAAATAAAGTAAGGTATGAAGAAAGGATTAAAATAATTGCTGAGCAAAATAAAACAATGTCGACGAAATAAATTTCAGTAATTTAAGAAAATAACTAATTAAAAAAATGACTACTAAAATGTTTCAAAGAACAGAACTAACTAATAACACCACTTCTGACTTGTCACTTAAAAACTAGAAGTGGAGAGGTCACTCAAAGAAAGATGGAAAGAAATAGGGCTGAACTGAGGAGCTGTGTTTGACGAACATTAATCCTGCGTTCAGTCTGGTTCTGCATACCCCAGGTGAGCCCTCGGTAGAAGTCATGCCAAAGTGGGGCTGACGTGAGCTCAGGGTTTTCCTCTTCTGTTAGACTCAGAAGACATTTGAGATCTGGGATTATTTTGGGTATTTGATTCCTGTTAAGATTCTGGTTGCTTGAAACATTTTCTACTTGAATGGCAACATTGAACAACAAGCTTTAAGAAAAATGTGGTTGGATTTTTTTATTCCCTCCCTCCTTTAAACAGCATCTGTTTACAATAACCTTTTGTTTCAGAGCTTCTTCTCCTATTTTCTACACAGATACCTACACAACTACAGCATTTTAAAGCCTGATAATATATTATTATAATACAATATCATAAGGCTTCCATTCTTAGAATTAAACCAAATCTTCATAAATGACTTTTAAATGATGAAACAATCCTTCTCTTTCAATTTCTTTCCATCATTGCAACTTTTTTGGAATTTCAACCTGATTTTTTGCCCCTTCAGCAATTCCAAGCTGATAATTTTTTTTTCAATTTCGTTCCTCCAATAAATTGAGCCATAAATGAGATTTTGTGGCTTTCTTGGGTGAGTGGGGTTGTGGATGTGATTGAGGTAGAAGAGCCCATGAAACTTCTATGTACATTTCATTTGTGTCATTTTAGTGTCAGCCCCAGACAGCCGCAGCACTGCATCCTCTCCAGCTGAGCTGCTTGTGAGCCCTGCACACAAGAGGGAACTGGCCGAAGCCCAGATACAGGGAAAGGAGAGTGTATGGACCATCTGTAGAGTAGATCTCCCTGAAGTGGGCAATTAGAATGCTTTGTCCAAGAGCTCTGTCAAATCACCCACCCACAAAGGGTGGGTTTCAAAATTGGAACAGTGCTGGCTATGGATATGGCTAGGTGCCACCTACTCAAAGGGGCTCTGCTACTGATGAATGAAAGACTAAGAGTTGAGATGCAGCATGGGGTTGTGAACCTCTTGAAGACATGCACCACGAGGGAACAAAATAATTTTACTGTTGACGGCTCTTCTTGAGGATTACATTTTGGTTTATGAGGGCTCCTTCGTCATTCTTACTGACTAATTTTGTAGGTGATGTAGCCATGTAGTATCAAAACCTTCTGTAGTTGTGTTGCTATATGAATTATTTGGTCTCAATAAAAACAGAATGAGAAAAAAAACTATATCCTCAATTAAACATAAAGCCACAATACTAAGCAAAGCATTAATTTTCTAGACACTACATTATTTAAGTTGGCACAGGACAACAGGCATAAGTTAGTAACATAACATTTTTCAAAATAACTGACACACATTTCTGCACAAAAAAAGCCATCACTCCAAACACTTCCTCTGCACACTGTTGAGGTCACACCTAATGCATTTCCATTCCACTTGCACAAAGTTAAAATGCTTTAATGAGGTAGTCATTATTTTATTTACTGCACCCCAGACTTCAGTCCCAGATTTAAATTTAACAACTTACATACATGGCATGATGTTCCCTTTTCTTTAAAGTGTGGGGGTGAGTGTGTTTGGTGGCTGTTTACACAACAGTTGAGAATGATATGACCTATTGTACTAACGAGCTCAGTAAGATTTGACAGACAGAGCAGAGGAGAGTTTCTGAGCCTATCAAAGGCCATTACACTGGCACCTTGACTCACCAGAAGCTGCTAACCAATCCGATGCTGGCAACTTCTAGGTCCCAAAGACCACCAGTTGAGAACTACTCTTTGAGGAATTTAGCATGGAGAATTGTTTACCTTCTTGTAATAGGTTGGAGAGAGGGGTCATGGGTGGCTAAGGCAAGGGCAAGGTGTGGCCTTCAGAAAACACTCCATTATCCATGCCTCAAATTTCCCCCAGATTGCAGCAGTTACAGCCCCAATAAATTAGGAAGCTATATGTTTGCAACAGCACTAATGAGTGGAAGAAACAGGGATTGGAAGAAGATAAGCGACCCATTAATCCAGAGGGCTGAGAAATGAATTGTTCAGAAGCTGTTTTGAAGAGATCAATGATTGTGAGGCATTATTCTGATGTACAGTCAGTGGTGATGCTTGCCATGGAAATAGCTGTATCAATGGGGACACAAGAGGAGTCCCTTCCACCCAACTGTAAAACAGTGCAGGAATAGAACGCTCCATGCATTACCCCTCCAAAAAGGTGTCAGGTCAGGAGAAATCTGATAACAAGGTAATGTGCATAACTACCAACCAGATTGATGGTTTTCAGACAGACAGCTAGTACTAATTTAATCAACATTTTTAAGAATCAGACAATTTCACGGGGCTCCTACGATTCAATTGAACTATTTCACATTGATCAGGAGGAATGGTAACAGAAATGTTGACAAGGACCAGCTTTTTTTAAACAGTCCTCTCTAATGCTACCATATGGGGTAGATTCAGGGTTGTATCCAAACTCCATTGCCCAATAAATGAATGAAAGGCAGGGAGAGTAGTTTAACCATAAAGATTTACTTTAATTATTAAAAGCTGCAGCAAATCCAGTACAACTGCCCAACTCTCAATCCTGTATTTGTCAGAGAGCACGTCATAGAAACAGTAGAATTAGCATTTGAATCATCGGAAGAATGAGGGGAAGCTGCAATGATGAGATGAGGATGTCATTTGTGTGTTTGAAATTGCTGATTTCATTTACAAAAGTTTATTAAAGAAAGTGATTAGAAAAAACCATGCATGATTACATAGAGATCTGACATTTACAGATTGCAGAAATATCAATACGGATCATGATTGAATAAGGAAATTTCTTTTAACATGACTTAGTCATCCACTAAATTGGTTTGCTGAAACCTGAAGGGAGTCCATTAGTTAAATAGTTAACAGTCTCTGTTCACTCTAATAAAATCAATTAGATAGAGCAAAATTAATTAAAATTTACTTCTGAATCAAAATTGCTTGTCTTTTTGTTTCATCAACTGTTATTCATTGATCTACTTTTATACAATTTTAATGGGAACTCACTTTCCTCCCCAGTATAGCTTCGTTGTTATCACCAAGCTTGATCGTCTGAAAGAGAAACACAAGAATATTTCAATCATGTGCATAACAAAAGGAACCCAAAATCTGCTTTTTTCTCCACTTACATGGAGTGCTAGTACAATTGCTATCAATTTGGATTTGCCATAGATACCTTATCAGATACAATGATATCGCTCAAACTCATTGACAGATTGTGAATGATATTTTGAGTTCTGACTTGCACAGCTCAATACAGGGAGTCTACCACTGCCAAGCTTGACAATTACAATGCTCCTCCCCTTTCCTCTCCTCTCCTTCCTCCTCTTCCCCCTTTCCTCAATCTCCATCCTTCCCTCATCTTCTTCTCCCTGACTTCCCCTCCCCTTTATCCACTCCTCCTCCTCACCTCTCCCTCTATCTCCTCTTTCCCCATATCTCCCTCCTGTTCCTCACCTCCTCCTTCCCCCATCACTCCTCCTGCCCCTCTGATTCATGGGGCACAGGTCACTGTTGAGTTAAGGAGCTGATACTTCATCCACAAGGTAGTGGGCAGAATGGCCAAGCCCCAATGGTAGACTGAAGTTGACAGCCAGTGGAATAAGTGGAATAACATGGGAGAGCTGCTGAACTCCATCTGGACCAGAGTGGCTAATCACCCGTACCCAGACAAAACCCAGCAGCTCCCTCATACTTCTTGACTGGCCATGAGCAGAAACCCTGGGACATTTGTTAGCATTGCAGAGACTGCGGCAGCTATGAACAAATGATGGCTTCAGCAGGAAGCCTGGAGTCTAGTGAGCAAAAGCCCGCAGATTCCACTTATCCTACAAGAGACTTTGAAATAGTCTGTCATAGGAATTCTTTAAACATTTCACTTACAGATTTTTTAAAAAATTATTCACTTTGGGATGTGGACATCACTGGCTGGCCAGCATTTATTGCCCATCTCTAGTTGTCCTTGAGAAGGTGATGATGAGCTTCCTTCTTGAACCACTGCAGTCCATGTGCTGTGGGTTGACCCACAATGCCCTTATGGAGGGAATTCCAGGATTTAGACGTAGTGACGGTGAAGGAACGGCGATATATTTCCAAGTAGGATGGTGAGTAGCTTGGACAGGAACTTGGAGGTGGTGGTGTTCCAATGTATCTGCTGTCCTTGTCCTTCTAGTCAGTAGTGATTGGAGGTTTAGAAAGTACTGTACCTCATGGTAAGCAAAAATATCTTTTCCATACTATCTGGATGTCCTTTTGCTCAGCCCTGTGCTCACATTATCATTTACTCTCAGTCTCATTAACATAAATATTAACTTATGCCCATACACAGTCCATGTCAAACATGATGCCATGGAAACCCACCCCTTGAGAAAATTGAATATTAGACTGTCTGCTTTGTTACATTGGCCTCAAGTAAGTTCTCGAAGTTGTAATTGAGCAGCCAATAGTATGGGGTGAAGGGGATGACTGGTCATCATGACTTCTCTTTGTTCCACATGAAGGACTTTTTTGGCTGAATGACACACTTTCCAGACAATTCTGTCGTTTCTTAGTCATTTCCCATAATCTAGCCATTGTAATCTGATCATTTAACTGAAACGATTATTTGAAACCTCAATGACTGTACTCTGTTCTGAAAAAGGCAGCCAAAGCAGCCTACACATTCAATGGAGCCAATTTTCAACCTCCAGTTGTTACTTCTCATATATAAAATGGGAACTAATGATTGTAAATCATGGTAAGAGGACACATCAGCCCACGTCAATGCCAAGGCACATATTATGCAGTTTATGATTACAAATCTGCATAAATATTCAAACGATATGATGTATTTTTGCAATTTATTTGCAATTTCAGGTTCAGATAAATAAAAAGAGTGCACTGCCTCTGGGGTGTCGACCTAATGGACCCAAGAAAAATGCTGCAGAATTCATTTTTCACTGACCTCAGACCTAACTATGTTTTGTATTGATGAAAGAAAATGCTTTATCTGACCTGCTCATTTGGTAAAAACTCTATTCCCCTTCAACCTATCTTTCTTTTAGGAGTTTACATTTTTGAATGTTATCTGTTCCTTCTGAAAACTAAGTGTATTACACCCACTCGGTGTCTGCTGTGTGCCTTCCCCGAGGGGCACTGGCATGATCGAAGATATTGGCATGCAGAAGGTTATCAGCTTGATTCCAAGTTCTACCTCTCCATGGCGTCATGCACTAAAATATTGAGTGCTGTGCCACCTACTCAGGCCATCTGCTTACAAGCTTTACATAACTACTCCTCATGAACTACGAATGAACCTCCATTACAGGAGCTTTATTGAAAAGTCATTCTAGTTATTAAAATGCAAGCTATAAAATATTGGCTGAGAACTTCCAGTATCCAGATAGTCAGAGATTGGAGGTACCTTGGAGGATGCAAATTGGGAGCTCTCAGAAAGCCCAATGCCCCAAAAGTGTAAACCTCTAATGTGCAATTACCTGGCATCAGAGAATAATCCCAACTCTGCCTCATAGTCAGAGACTTTAGAAGTCTTTGATTTACTTACCTTAAAGCTTAACTAGGAATGATTAGAGGGGTTAAAATCTGCTGAAATCCTGGGATAACTATAAACCTGAAATCCCTGACTTCCAAATGTACCCCCCAATCACACAGATTGAATCCCATGAACATGACTTCACCCATGCCTCCATACCTATATGACTGGCCCTCTATGCAACCACAAACACTGCACTTCAGCCCACAGAGCTGGTACCCTTCCCAGACACTGGACACTTGTTGTCATCTCCTGCCCACCCAGATAGCTGGCAACCCACCTCTGGACACACATCCCTGACACAAATCCCTCCCAACCCACAGACACTGGCCGCAATACCCTTGGATACCTAACATGACTGCCGGACAACTGAATACTCAGCTCCCTGCCAGACTATTTCTCCTAGATACCCACATTCCTCACTCAACTGATCCAATCTCCTCTTCTGATTCCTGAATCACACTTCCCTCTTACGCATTTTCCTGCTACCTTACCCCACCACTCAACTGCTACCCTTCTGCCTCACCAACTCATACAGCACTTTTCCACTTTTTGCCTACGACCTCACTTAACTGGCACTCTACCACATATCCACCCTGCAGCCTACCTCCTCACCAACTTGGCAAACAGCTCCTATACCCAGCTGGCCACCTACTTCCTTAGGTACATGACACACTACCCTTTATTCATTTGGCACTCTACTCGTTCAGTAGTTGGCACCTTTCCCCTTCAGCCAGCTGGCACCCAAATCCCTCAAATACCTACCACTTTACCCATTTACCCACTTACCTCACACACTTAGCTTCTCTCAGAAGCTTTCAAAGTGGCTTTGGAACATTTAAACATTTTCTTCGCTGGCACACTCCAGCTATTGCCACTAAAATGGCTGTAGTTTTTTGGCAATTTGCTCCAATACAGCCTGCACAGCCAGCTGGTCTTTATCTATGAAGGATGTGTAATAGATCCTGTATCAGAACATCAGATGTCCTTGCGGAAAGGCCTTGGGGTGTATGGGCAACTTTCTATCTGAGCTGGACCTGAAATAGGGATTCTGATCCAGATTAGAAGATTCAGACCAATGAATTAGACTGAGTTTAATGTTACTGAAACTGGTGGGAGCATACTTACTTGTGCAGTCACACAACCACTACCATCTAAAAGAACAAGGGCAGCCAATACATGGGACCACCACCACCTGCACATGCCCCTCCAAGCTGTTCAACATCCTCTCTTGGAAATATATTGCCATTCCTTCATAGTCACTTGCTGCAATTCTCTCCCCACATTCTGCAATTCCTTCCCCATCGGAATTGAGGGTGTATCCGCAGCACGTGGACTGTAGTGATTCTGGCAGGAAGCTCACAATCACCTTCTCAAGAGCAACTAGGGTTGGGCAATTAATGTTGGCCTAGCCAGTGATGCCCTCTTCCTATGCGTGAAAACAAAAAATAGTGATTGTGATATCACAGCTAGCGAAGCGCAGGTAGCATCCTGATCAAAGAATAGAATCATCTGTAACATTGAGCAATATAAAGAGACTTGAACAAAGACATGAACATATGTGTTTCCTCAAATGTTTCGACTGAATTAAATTCAAGCCTTGGGATCATGTTTTGCTCACTATACCATACCTAGTACTTGGAAACCTCATTTGTTACAACTCTGGCTTTCCAACTCCCAAGCCCTCACTGCTTACCCCTGCTCAACATCTTACTCTCTGTTTACCATTCACCAGGTGGGAGGGAGCAAGTTGGTGAGCAGGAAAGGGAAAATGAGACATTTGGGAGTGGGATGGCCAAGAAGGTAGTGACTGGGCCAGCAAGGGGACACCAAGATAAATCCTGAACAGAGTGTTGAGATGGGCAGCAAGTCAGTGGCTTTGTGAGTAAGGGCAGCAAGGGTGAGTGTTCATTGAGCACCCACTGGGCACTATGCACGTACATATGGGTGAAGTGAGCACTGATGTCAGACTGCAGGCGCACATTGGTAACACGAATGGCACTGACTTCCTATTCCTCTACTTGGCAGGAGATATAATAAGTGAATTAACGTGTGAACAAGGGGCCAATTTTAAATGCCATCAGGATCCGAGCAGGAAACATATTGCAGTTGTCAAGTGGCTTTTGGTCCAAGAGAGCCAAGGGCTGCTGCTAATGCTTAGGCAAGTTTAGGGATTGGAATTCAATGGTGGGCAGGGGGGTGCAGGAATCTGAAAATTGGACTGTGGAAACTTCAGGGTAAGGAGGCCAAGAGTTGCTTTGTGGAGCACAGAAATGCAATTCTCCACAAAGGAAAGTAAAAATAATTATGAATGGTATCTGTTGCTTCTCACCCTTTCTGACAGTTTTCATCCAGTAGTGAAGTTTTCTCCCTTTCTTCATTAAAAGGATGAGGGGCATCGCTGGCTCGGCAGTATTTATTGCCCATCCCTAATTGGCCAGAAGGCAGTTATGAGTCAACCACATTGTTGTGGGTCTGGAGTCACATGTCGGCCAGACCAGGTAAGGTTGGCAATTTCCTT